GGGTTGAATTGAAGTTGGCTCCTAGGGTTCTGGTTTGCTCAGCTGGGTAGATTGTGGTGCCCACTGCTGAGGAAAGCAGCACCAGAAGTGGAACAGGGGTGGGAGAGACCATGAGCTCAGTACTGGACATTTGGGTTCAGGACGCCTTTGGATACTAGAGCGCAAGAGCTTCAGAGAAGTGTGGCCTAGTGGGCCTAGTGGTGTAGATTTGCATGTTGTAGCAAAGGCCGCCATTTTTATCTTCACATCCTTCCGCTTCTTCTTTAGTATCAGAACACGTGATTTCCAGCTGGCCACCATATCTCCCGCTATGACTTAGACATGCAGTGTCCCCCCAAAGCTCATGTGCAAGACAATGCAAGAAAACTTAGAGGTGAGATGACTGGTTGTAAGAGCCTTCATCAGTGCATTCCTCCTCCTGATGGGAATTAACTGGGTGACAGGCAGGTAGGGGGTGGCTGGAGGAGGGGGGTCACTGGGGGACATGCATGGGGTGGTATGTATTTTGTCCTTAGTGAGAGGAGAGGTCTCAATCTCTGCTTCCTGGTGCCGTGTTCCCAGTTGCTTTCCTCTGCCACACACTTCCACCATGATGTTCTGCCTCACTCCAGCCCCTAGGAATGGAGGCAGCCATTGATGATGGCAGTCCCATCATGGCCTGGGACTTTTGAAACCATGAGCCCCCTCTTTTGGTCAATCAGGCCTTCTAATCTTTTGAGATATAACATCCACTGTCGCCTCATATTTCTACATTATATCTCAGCACCATCCATATTGCTCTTGTCAGGTCTTTTGGTCACAGTTGCAAAAATGCTGACTGAAACATCTCCCTTGAGCTAAAGTGCTCACCTGACTAAATTTTAGTCAATGAAATATAAGAGATGTCATGTATGGTTTCCATTAAGTATCCTGAACCAAAGAAGAGCGTGGCCCTTTTCCTGCCTTATTCCTTCTTTCTAGAAGAATTATGGCTGCAACGACCAGAGCCCAAGAAGACCAGAGCCCATGCAGACCATGAGGTAAAGTTCCTGTGTTAACAATGGCGGAACAAAAGGAGAAAAGGGACCAGTTCCCTGTTGGTTCTGCCATAACTGGCTTTTTTTATGATTGCAAAAAAAATACACTTTTATAATATTTAAGTTACTGACGGTGAGGTTATTTGGTCACCTGCAGTCAAATCCAGTCCTATCTATTACAAGAGTCAGGGGAAGACACTTCCAATAGGAAGACACTGAGTTTAGAAGCAAGTTTCCAAGAAGAGAGTATGGAGTAAGATGTGAGGTGAGCTTAGGACTGAGATCTGAGGAACTCAGGAAAAGTACTGCTTGGGAGTAGCCCTACACTTGAAGGCGGCCAGTACCAATAGGAAGAGTTCATGAGTCTCAGCTTCACTTTGTTCTTCTCTACCCAGTGCCTCTGACTTCCAATTAGCCTCTGTCCCCCTGGCCTATCTCTTGTCCCTAACCCACAATGTTTCTTTTCATCTTTTGGATGAGCTGTTGATAACCTTACTTCCTTGCTCAACATTCTTCTAGAAATTCCTATTGACTGTTGTAAAACTTTCACTGTCACCTCATATCTCTACATTATATCTCAGCACCTTCCATACCTACCTGCAATCATATGAAAGACCCCAGGGGTACCACTCAGCTGTGAACAGCCAACTCATAGAACAATAAGAGATAATGAAATACTGTTTTAAGGGGCTGGAGTGTATCTCAGTGGTAGAGTGTGTGATTAGCATGCGTAAGGCCTTGGGTTCAATCTAACATAAAAATTAATTAATTAATTAATTAATTTTAAAATATTGTTTTAACACCCTTAAGTGTTCATATGGTATCCTATACTCAAGAGATAATCAGAACAAAAATTGGTACCTGGAGTAGGTTGTTGATATTAAAAACTTCAACATCTGGGCTGGGGCTTTGGCTCAGTGGTGAGGTTTTGGCTCAGTAGTAGAGCACTTGTTAAGCATGCACGAGGTCCTGGGTTCCACCCCTGCCACACACACACACACACACACACACACACACACACACACACACGCACACACACACGATTTAAACATACAGTATTGCCTTACAACAGGCCATGGCCTATAGAGGCTTGTTTCCAGGGACTGTAAAAACAGTGAAGAAATTGTCACTGGAAGCTGGAGAAAAGGATTTGAATGATATATCTTTCAGATGTAGAAATGTGGAAAATTAAAAAATATATTTGATAGAGAGTGGGTTCAGTTAATGAGATTTCAGCAAATGTTGGAAGTTTAAACTAATTTATTTTTTTTCATGTATTTGAAAGGAAAGGTAATAGAGAAATGCACTAAAATAGGCATTACTTTGTTTCAAACACAATTTAAAGAACATAAAAAGAAGCCAGAATTTTCTAGTTTCAAACTTTATCCGTTTCATGTTCTCAAACTTCCTACATAGCAAATTATTCTCCAAAGTCCTAAAGCCTGGAGGCAAAAGATTGTGATGGACATCATTATACAAAGTACACGTATGAAGACTTGAATTGGGTATCAACATACTTTATGTACAAACAGAGAAATGAAAAATTGTAGTGTATATGTATATTAAGAATTGTAATGCAAAAAAAATAAAGTACGTGTATAAAGGCAAAAAAAAAAAAAATAGGATGTGGCTCTATTTTAAGACTTCACAGACCTCTCAGCTAGTCAAAAGACTTCTAAGAATCTTAGGGCTATCCTTACTATCCTAACTTCTATCTAAGCCAGGCAGGATGCTGTCTCAAAAATACTTGTGTCTTCAGTAACTCCAAAACGTTTCCTAGAAAACCCATAATGTTTGTATGAGATTTGAACTGATGGATACATTATTGTCTTGAACTAAGTGTGACAGGGACAGTGCAAAAGTGGAACCCTACAAATGTATATGGGCAGGAAGCAAACTAAGGAAGCTCTCCCATAGCACATATGAGGTGTTTCTTACAAAAGCAGAGCCCAGGACCACGGGCAGTGACCCTGAGTGCAGGAGCGTGCCCTGACTTAGAACCGGAGACCCATAACCACCTGGGTTTCAGAATTCCCATGACCGGTGCTACTGTGCCTCCTATTTCTCACCCTGGAGGGTGAAGAGGATTGTACATTACAATAACACTGCACATACACCCCTCTGTATGTTGGGCGCATGTGGCGGGAGGGGGAGCAGATGGCCTGTCTAATTCCCAGGTGCTCATATTGAGGGGAAACTCTTTGAGGACCCCACCTGAGGAATCTCATTTGAACCTTGACCTGATTTAAATGACAAGAGCCTGGTCTTCCCCATCTGACTGTGATAAGGATATTGAAGTGTTGAGGAAGGATGTGAATTCTTGTGCCCAGAGGGTAGATTGTGACAGATTAGATTTTCCAAAGATAGCCACAACAGCCTCTCCATCTCTCTGCTCTGTGAGTTTGCCCATTTTGTCATAAGGAGGGGAGGACTGTTTCTCTGCTCCTTCAAGTTGGAAAGGTCCTTTGGATGCTTTGACCAATGGAATATGGCAGAAATTGTATGGTACCCATTTGGGACATTGTCCTTAACTGATCCCGCAGCTTCCATTTCCTGCTTTTTGGAACGTTTGTTTGTGAGGCTCCTTCTCTGAACCTTCTTATGCTGTGAGAAGCCCAAGTCACATGGAGTGGCCTCAGCCAATAGCCAGCATCAACCGCGTCTCACATCATGCACCGTCTCGCATGTCCAGCCCTGGTTAGCCCTTCAGATGATCGCAACCCCAGCCGCCACCTTACCAAAACTGCATGGGTCACCCCAGTGAGAACCACCCACGGAGCCCAGTCACAGAGATACCAATACACGGTTGCTTTTATGCTGCTGAGTTTTAGCAGTGATTTTTTTAGATCCTTAGTACTTATTTGTTGAATTTGTGACCAAATTCACGACAGTTTAGAGATTCTCAAGGAAGCACTAAAAACTAAAGATCAAAGATGACCCATCAGCAAGCAAATGGTTTAAATTAAAAGCTGGCAAATATATATTTTTTTTAAGTCAGAAAATATATGAGGCTTTGCCTTGTAGATACACAACTCTGCTCTTGTGGCACAGAGGCACCTAGAGCCAGTGTGTAAACATATGAGCCTGGCTGTGTATCAAAAAAGTCATCTACAAAAACAGGCAGCGGCTTATTTGACTCATGGGTCACAGTTTCCTGGCTCTTAGCTTAAACAATAATGGGACCCATGATTTTGTTGACAGGAAGTCAGAGAGGCCAACTCAATGGATCAACAATGTCAGCGTGAGCATGGATTCTTTCCACCTTTTTGCTCTGACATCCTCAGTCCTGCGGTTTCTGTCCTCAGGCCAGTGCCCTTGTGATCAGGAGAAGGCTAATGCTGCTCCAATCCAAGCCATCACATCTTGACCACATGTCCCAGGCACGGGGGAGAAAATTGTTCTCTTGTGTTCTTTTTGAACTTTTCAAGAGGTCCTCCAGGAGACTTCTTATGCCCCCTTGGGCAGAGGTCCACCTCATGTCCATTCATAAACTGGGAGTTATCATGATTGGCTTAACCTTAGACGACTCAAGTTTCACCCCACTGGAACCTCTTGTTCCCAATACAGGAACAAGATGGGGTTCTAGCCAGGAATTAAGCTACCAAGCAGGTAATCGATAGCAGCTGCCACATGTAGTTACCAGGTGTCGTGCTATGTCATTAACATGGACTAAACACATTAGTGTCTTTCCACAATGTCAGAATTTATTGAATAACAATAGATTCACAGGCTTCACCACTTTCATCAGTGACAGTTCACTGGATACTTGTGGTCACCTGTTAGTCATCAGCCAAGGGATTACAGAGTCTTTTATTCCAATCTCAATTTCTAGTATCGGGAACCCTCAAGACACACCTCACACTTTACACTATTATATACATATAGGTAATAGAAAGGCAGCCACAGGGGTTCAGAAGGCTGAACTGAGAGCAAAGGCAGACAGCAGATATGAAGAGTCACTGTAGGGGGTCAGGTAAGATTATGAACCAGCTGAAGAATCTGTTCAGGGTGTAGAGCTGTCAAAGCGCAGAGACTTATTCTAGGCCCAGGTCTGGACAGCAGCAGTTTCACACTGTTTGCTTGGAGTGATCTTGAGATGTCAGCTTGGAGTGGGTCTCCCCTGATTGTCAAGGGCGGAAGAAATTGTACTCTGCTAAAGCTCAAGGACAGAGATTTGGAGGTTTGCCGCTAGAGTGATTTTCCTGAGTAAGGCTCATGATGAGTGACCAGGGAACAAGGTCAAGGTGCCACCGTGTCCAATCGTGGGGTCTTGAGTGAGGGGGTTATGTAATCTGGTGGTCTGGTGTGTTCGATAAGCTCATGGGCCTGATTTTTCCAATATGAGTTGATACACTCATGTATTCTTATGCTTCTGCTTACTTGGGTAAGTTCACGAGAGGTCATTCTTATTAGCTGATTATCAGTTTATGCCTATGGTTGTGCCAGATCGATGGTGGTTTTGTTTTGTTTTTTTTTTAAAACTTGTACAAACAAGGCATGGCGTCATTCCACCTCAGCGCTTACACTGCTTTACAGAATGAAGCAACGAAGGTTCAGGTGTGGCCTACAAACTGCTGCCCTGTGCATCCTGGGGAGACTCCGAGAAGAGCACAGCCTGCTCTCCACACCTGGGAAGTAGAAGAGGAAATGAATGAGATGGTACTCCACCTCAGGGCTACAGATGCCCCGAGCACACTAGTTACTGATCCCAAAGAAAGCCTGAAGGACCCAGTGGAGAGGTTTTGGACATTCTGTTCTTCATGGAATCCTCAGAAGAGCTGGCTGGGTGACGATGGAGGGCAGCACTGTCCCTACAAGCAGGGAGCATATACGGGGTGGGTCGCATGCCCTCTGTGCACATGGGTTTCTTCAGATGTTTTACTTTACAACCAAGTTTGCTCTGCTTAGATCCCCACCTTAGCATGGGGACAAGGGAAGCCAGTTTCCCCTCTCCATTTTCTTCATTAGCACGTTCTTTTTTTTAAAAAAAGATATTTTTTTAAAAATTAACTTTGTTTTTCTTTTTTACACAAATGGAGCACGACTTTTCATTGCTCTGCTTGTACATGATGTAGAGTCACACCATTCGTGCAATCGTACCCATAGGTAGGGTAATAATGTCCGTTTAATTCCACCACCTCCCTCCCACACACCTCCTCCCCCTCCCTCCCTCCCCTCTACTCAATCCAAATTTCCTCCATTCGTCCCTTGACCCCCCACCCCCCATTGTGGATCAGCATCCACTTATCAGAGAAAATATTTGGCCTTTGGATTTTGGGGATTGGCTTACTTTGCTTAGCATGATATTCTCCAACTCTGTCCATTTATCTGTAATTGCCATAATTTCATTCTTCCTTAAAGCTGAGTAATGTTCCATGGTGTATATATACCACGGTTTCTTTATTCATTTATTTATTAGAGGGAATCTAGGTTATTCCCGCAGTTTAGCTATTGTGAATTCAGCTCACTAGCATATTCTTTAAAGCCCTTATCTCACTGCAAGCTTTCCTAGGCACTGGTTAGTGCTTACCCCAAAATAGGGTTTTGGCGAAGAATGGGGTCAGAAGTGGTGTCAGCTCCAGACACAACAGAGGCTGGAAGAGATAAGTGCACTGTGTCTCAGCTACACTTAAAGAGCAAGGGGCTGGTGGTGTGGCCCAGTGGTAGAGCGCTTACCTGGCATGCGTGAGGACCTGCATTCAACCCCCAGCACTGCAATAAATCTAAAACAAAATAAAGGACAAAACCAAGACTCACCTCTTGTCAGGTGTCCAGAAAAGACATTGACCCCGGTGGAGTATAGGATTCCACTAACAGGAATCCTCCCTTACTTTACCAAGTAGAGGTAAAGAACCTGGTGAGATGTGGTTCCCTCCTTGAGGCACCTCTGCCACCCGGTGACTCTGAATGGGCCAGGTCAGCATCTGGGGAGACACATGGTCTGACTCTATGGTGGCCAAAGATTGAGGCCACCTTTATCTTCAACAGCCTCAGTTGGCTCTGACCTGTGGGGGCCTGTGGGGGGGGTGGAGCCACACCCAATGGATGATTGAAGAGTTTCATTGCTTACTGATGATCAGGGGCGTGGGGACGTTTTATGCAAGTGCCACCAGGAAGCTGCATCTGCAGATCATAGTGACAGGAGGGCTCTGGGCAGCACTGCGCTGCTGACCTGCTCCCTGGTGGCCTTTGGACCTCTGGAAACTCCAGGCAGCCAGGAGCAACCACGGCCTTGTATGTAGGAAGCTTCAGCACTGTGGTGATGGCAGCGTCACCACATGTGTTACTTGAGGTCACCTCCATGGAGATTCTTCTAAGCCCCCCAAAGGGGATGCTGCCCACTCCCTGCTTTTGTGAACCCACCCTTCCCACTGAGCTTCACACGATGGGCTTTGGACACTTACCTGTCAACTACTACTGTACTAAGCTGCATCTTCCTCGTTTTGATGTCACTAGGAGCTACTGCCATCCTGACCCACAGGAGGATCTAACTATGCAGCGTGGGGGCGGTGCGGGGAACAGCGTCACCTCTACCCCCATTCCCCTGGGCAGTGCCACAGTGGACACTGTTCCTGCAGTACTCAGCTCACATGTGTGCCCTTGAGGCAGGATCCTGAAGTTGAGAAGTCCAGGCTGCTTGCTTTCCTGTGAGTGCTGGCCAGGTAGGTCCAAGGTGGGCAACAGACTGTTGGTATGTTGCCCACCAAGGTCCTGTCAATGGACCTTGCAGGATGGCTTCCTGTGCACATGACCTCAGGCTGGGCTCCCTGGGACTGCTTCTGCACGACACTGGCCACCCTGTATAGGGTGTTTGATTAGTCAGTCTCTCACTCTGAGAGGCTAGGAATGCTCTTGGAATCATTTATGAATCTGGTACCCGGAGAGCACAGAACCATGTTTGGTGAGCAGATGGATGTCAGCATGCGCACACACATGCACACAGCATTTGATGGCCCGGAATCAGCTGGTTGAAGAATGGTGGTGTCTGTATTCTTTAACCCGGCATTCTGCTGAGCCTCCCTGGGCAGAGCGCTGAGGCGGCCCACTGTCCTGGGAAAGCCTCAAACCTGTGCAGTAATGCTTATCTGCTCATCTCGGTGCCTGTGGGTCCTGCAGTTCCTGACTGATGCTCACCTGGCTGGGGTGGTACAGACTTGTGCCACCAGGGAGATGTGGTTACCAGTCACAAGTCTCCAGAAAGATGCTGACACACAGCTGGCCTACTTCTTGCCCAGGTGTGGCCTCCCACCATGGACCAACATACAGCAAAACCGGTAGGAGTGTGAGCCACAAGGCCACAGTCTGCCAGAATCCTGGAGTGGTCAAATCAAGTAAGAAGGGGCAACATCTGCAATCGCTTTTTTTGGAAGGGGGAAAAAATGTGTTTGTCCATATTATAACCACTGAGCTGGAACCCTGGGCCCTGCCTGGAGGCCAGCTTGAAAATCCTATTATTTCACTTAATACCACACCTAGAGCAGAAGCATTTCATTTAAGTCGTATCTGCATTTCTTTTTCTTTTTCTTTTTTTTTTAACCCTTATGATGAACAGTGTACTGCATTTCACAGAAGAGGAAGTCGAGTCTTGGGCAGGTTTGGCAATTTGTCAAAGATCATGCGGCTTGAAAGCAGCGGGGCCCAGACCAGAGCCAGCCTCACTTACTCCAAAGTCCACTTTCTTGATCTCTGAAGGGTATTGTTTGCAGATAATCAGTCTGTCCATGGTGTCTCAGTGCTTCTCTGTGGACACAACCTGGCTGTGGGGGTGACCCCCAACTCAGAGACATGTCTCACACATAGCACCTTCCTCAGGAGGGGAGCCAGCCCTGGTGGGCACAGGCTCAGGAGGGCCCAGGCCCTTGGCCCTGGGGGCCTTGCAGCCTCAGAAACATCTGCTCCGTGGCCTCAGCTGCCTCAAAGCTGAGGAGCTGGACTATCTAGAGGCCACGCTCATGGCCTTGTTATGTCACATTGCTTCTTTCCCTTACCTGTTTGTAGACAAGGGCAGCCATAGGGCAACACCTTCTGGAAATGGGGCCAGGCCAGAGTCACAGACCAGTCATGTGGCCTTGCAGGGTGCCACTGCAGTCATTTTCTTGTCCACCTGGGAAGGCAGCATCTGTGCCACCCTGGGAAGTTCACAATGACCAGTCCGCACAGCAGGTTTCAGGGACCAGATCCCCACCGTGTCCCAGCCACGAGAAGAGGAATGGCCAAGACAACACTCAGAGTCCTGGCAGGCCACTGACTCCACCTGGCTCTCATTGCAGACCTCCTGGGGCCAAGGCCTGAGGCACTGATTTTGACTGGAAATACACCCAATGAGCCTCGATGGTCAATCCATTCCTCGAGCTGTTGGTTCTACAGATGTTTTCCATGTTGGCAGAGCCTTTGTCATGGAGACCTTGTGAACTCTGTGGCTCAGGACAAAGTCACCCAACTCCTGGCCCCATGTGACTTCATTATCAGGCACAGCTGGACCAGCCAAGTACCCTTGAGCTCTGTACTCTCTCCAGGGGTCTGTGATGTAAAGAACAGCTCACAATTCCCCCAGGATGGGCATCTCTGCCCCTTCTCTGTAGGTGAACCTTGGACAAATTCTCCAACCTATTGAAGGTCTATTTGAAAAGGGGGCTCAAATGACATCGTACATGGAAGCACTTTGCGCACTGCCTGGTATATCACATGAGCGTCAGCCACCTGTATCCTTTCCACCCTCAAAGCCAAGTCCGTGCTGGTGTGTGCCAGGTCACTCCCTTGGCTCTCATGACCCCAGCCTCTGCACCTGAAGAGCAGCAGTACCTGTTTTCCTATGTCAGCCTAGAAGTCAGGCCATGACATAGTTACTCCCGTTCCTTTATCCCCAGCGCCCGGGCTCCGTGTCCCTTTGGCATCTGCATCTCTCTGGCAAATGCACACCCTCCTCCCTCCTACTCACTCAAAAGCCATCTTGGGAAAATGGTATTCCACAGCATTTCTGCTTACCAGGCTCTGCTTATCTTGCAGATTTCAATGGTCACAGAAATCACAATATCTGGCCCCAGCCTGCATCATGACCTTCACGGGGTTGCTTATTCTTAGTGGAAGGTTTCAGCAAAGCTGCTCCCACACAGCAGGACATCCACACAGTTGCCCTCCACTGTGTTCACATCCGTCTCCACCTCCCCATGCCCATGACAGGCACATCATGCCCAGCTGCCCCCGAAACACACACTCAAACACAGCTTCTCTCTTGGACATCACAGCGATTATCTTTCTGTGCTGTTGTGTTTGTTATTTGACTCCCCCCTCCACTGCAAGCCCTGTTAAGACAGCATCTTTGTGTTTCCAGAAACACAATACTCTGGATATATTTGTTAAATGATTTTCTATGAGGAAGCAGAGTGATATGGTAAAAAGAAAAAATAAGAGAGAGAGAGAGAGGGGGAAAAAAAAGAAAAAGAAAAGAAAGCACAGGATATTTATTCAGATGATCTGAGTGCCAACTTTACTGTGTACCACCTCTGTGACATTAGGGAAATCTGTTTTCCCAACTATAAAATGAGACGAGTAATGCCCGTCTCCTGAAAGTATGGTATGGAAGAGGCGAGACCTATGAAAAAGTTCTTTCCAAACCGTGAGGTCTGAATAAATAGGCACTATTGTAACAGCCCAAAGCCGGCAACCACCCAGATAGATGGCCATCAAGGTGTGGATGGCTAATCGCTGTGTTATAGCCAGTCATGGGGTGCTACACATGGTATCTCACATGAGTGTGCACAAATGAACTATTGATACAGGCAACAACGTGGAGGAATCTCAAGCAAATTATTCTGAGTAAAAAAAGCCAATCTGGAAAGGTAACTACTGTATGATTCCATTGATTTAACATTGAAATGACAAGATTATGGAAACAGGAAGCAGATGAGTGGTTTCCAGGGGTTAATGGGAGGGAGGAGGGGCTCCAAACGACAACAAGAGGGACCCTAGAATAAAATACTTTGTTATTTTGACTTTGTCAATGTCACTATCCTGTTGTGAAACTACTATAGTTTAGCAAGATGATATCACTGGGGGAAAACAGAATAATCCCTGTATGCTATTTCCTAAAACTATAGATGCAAACCTCACAATGAAAACTTTTACGTGAAAAGATGCACATGGTGATTTTGTTGAATGCATTTGTAAAAATGCATTCCATTGATTGTGCCAATTGTGCCAGCTAATTTGTCAGCTCTTGCTCATTTGCTCTTATATATTGTTGGTGTCCTATTTTACATTTTAGAAATGTTAAGGCCACAATGATAGTAGCAAAGCTGGGATTGGGTCCCTGAACCACTGCACCACAGACCCTTCTTGCAAAGACGATGGGCACAGTCTAGATTTGAATCCAAACAATATTTAACTCTTCAGCCATATTTAGGTACAGTTTATTAAGTGCAAAGATCACCCACAATGACAAGACTAACTAAAAAGTCATTGATCCTTTTAGGGATAAGGACACTGTTCTGAAATTAGATGGTGGTGACGGTTTCACAAATCTGCAAATATTCAACCAGCCCTCTGTATCCTGGGTTCCACATCCATGTCTTCCATCAACTGTGGATCAAAAATATTTTTAATTTGCATTTATGCTGAACTGGTACAGACATATTTCTTGTCATTACTGCCTAAACAATACAGTGTCACATTTGTTGACATAGCATTTGCATTGTTAGGTCATGGAAGTCACCTACAGATGGCTTAAAATGTACAGGAGAGGGACATCGGTTCTGTGCGAATAAACACACTATGTTGAATAAGGAACTTGAGCATTGTTGGATTTTAGAATCTGCGAAGGGGGTTCTGCAACCAATCCCCTGAAAATAACAAAGGATGACTATACAAAAACACCTGACAAGGGTAAATTTCATCCTATGCGACGTCTATCTCTATTTTAAAAAATCTACCATCTTCCTTAAAAAAGTTATCGACATGGTCTGGGAGTAAGACATGGACCTGTGACGGTGGTATCAGTGGTAAGAAAACTCCTAAGAAGTCACTTATTAAATACAAGAAGGGGCGATGACAAAGCTGTTGCAGATGCCTGAGGTTTTGAGCCGAGGGACAAGAAGAAAGAGGAGGCGGCCAGGGAGAAGATCACAATCGATAGGCTGAATTTGAGATGTCAGCAGGCTCTCTGGGGACCTCCCGTAGGTATTCGGAAGAAGAAGTCTCAGAGCCTCGAGGTCGAGGAGGAGATGAACTATTTCAGGGTGGCAGGATGGAGACGGATCCTTCATTAGTAGAAGATAAACTGGAAGGAATTTATCTCCCCCAGAAAAATAGAGTTCAGCATGTGAAATCTCCCGTCTCCAACACACTGAAACCACAATTTTTCTTCTCCTCTCCGAAGGGTGAAACCAGATTCAGTGAGGGAAGAACATGACTCAGGAGTGATGGAAGAAAAATCTCCCCTGGGGAACTACCCTGCCTACTTTCCCTATCGACCTTGATTAGTGTAAGGTTTTCTCTTGTCCCCAGAGCACAGAAAAGACAACTTTTAAAATATTTTTAAAGTCACATACTCTAAAACCCAGATTTTCTCTTTTTGAAGTTAAACTCAACAAATCTTAGTATTTTACTTAGGAATCTATTTTAAATTCATGCAATCATTTATCAGAGGACTTTGGAACTTGGGTTAATTAACTTCCCTTGAACGTTTCCTAGTACATTTATAATTAAAATGCATTTACATTTCTTTTTAAACACTTTGGTTGTCTAATGAGCAAAAACTTCCCAAATGCTTACCAAAAGAATAAGTCAGACTTTACACATGTAGTAGGGATCAAATTCCTTTCAACAGGAGCCAACGGCTGCATTGGACAACCCCATAGCACCTGGCAGCCAAGGGAGTGGCCTGTCATTACATTTACGAGAGAGCAGGCCCAAGAGGGCAGTTGCTCCCCATAAAGAGCAGAGCAGGCCTGGGTAACAGAGGATGCAGTACAAACCTGACCACGAGAAAATTCCCATGTTCCCTCCATTGGACCCTGATGTAGGCCCTATCTTCCACCAGGAAGACAAGCATAATGGCCTCCTGTGTCCATTTACACATCCAAGTCAGAGCATCATTCTCTCCCCACCCCCACCACCGACTATCCAGATTTTGTCTACAACCCAAGACAAATTCAAGACCTCCCTACCTAGGGGTGTAGCTCAGTGGTAGAGCCCTTGCCTAGCATGTGCAAGGCCCTGGGTTCTACCCTCTGCTCCACTAAAAATAAACAAAAAGCCCAAATGGCAGCACCAACAAAATATTCAAGACCTCCATGCGTCATTATCCGTGTCTCTGGTTATAACTTCTATCCTTGAACTCTTCCTACATCGGCTGCCCTTGGTTTTATGGACAGGCTTCGTCCCTCCCTGTCACCTTGCAACAATGACATAATATTTTAAGAGTGCTTGCAACCAACGAAACCCAGACCAAGCAAGCCTATAACAGGACTGGAGAACATTCCAAAGCCCAGGGAAGGGTTTGAAATCCAGGCTCCAGAATAGGCAAGTCCAGAGGTGCTTTATTCTTTGATGGAACAGCTGGGAGGTCAGGAGAATGCCCCCGGTGTGGACAGATGGTTAAGGGACAATAGCTGGGGCTCTGAAGCCAACACGGAAACCCTCCCCCTGCCAGCTTGCAACCCGCACTTCAACCAATTAGTCACACTTAATGTGATTGTTATTTAGGGAGATGGGGAAAACTCAAATACGCTTTATTCTGGATGAAATGTTGGACCAGAAGTCTGGATGAATAAAATCCTGTCACAGCTTAGCTGGTGGCACTCATCCCCCACCAGCTTCAAATACCCTGGTTGGAAAGACAGAGACACTGAGTGCTGAGCGCAGGGTCAGGTCCCTGAGTGCTTATGTGCTTACAGGCTTAGGTTGTCACCAACTCGCCCCTTCTGCTCCCCTCTTGCTGTCAGGTCTCACAGGCAGTTCTACGGTGGATATTTCGGTGGCAGCAGCTTAATAAGGGGATCAACTCGGCCCTTTTTAAAACACATCTCTACGATTCTGAGCACCTCTGGGCTCCTGCTTGAGAAACCAGAGATGAGCTGAGTGTGTCCCTGCTTCCAACGCACTGATTACCTGGCAGATGACAGGAGGCAGGAGCAATGGCTGAATTCTCCCAAAGTAACTCTGGTGGTGCACGGAATTGAGAAGAGAAATCTGGGCCCAGGGAGGGGAAGAGGCTGCTTCCGGCTGGGGAGGTGGGGAGGTGAACAGAGGGCCCTGGGAGGTGTAAGAAATGCCCCCCAGGAGAAGCCCTGAGAATTTGCCTTGGGCTGCCTGCAGGGCCATCCCCACAGACAGGTCCAGGCACTGGGCAAAGCCACTTTCTTCTTTTGCCTTCTCCACTGTGGTCAGAGCCTAAAAATGGCAGTGGCTGCTCTCAGGTGGCTCTTGCTATGGAGCCAAGGACTCTTGGTAATGGAGGCTGACACCCGGAGA